CCAACCACTAAACTGCAACATTAATCCCGGTTACCACAAACAGTAAAGCTAACAAAAACTCACAACACGCAATAGAAACTTACTATTAATTAAACTGCGAACTGATTTTGAAACTAAAAGAATAGCTCAAGAGACAGCTAGAAATGCAAAGAACCATTAAAGCAATTATAATTAACCAAAACACAACGTCCAACAACAGCGATCCAAAAACGCTAGAATTTGAGTGGCAGTCACCTGAATGGAAATTTCGAACGTAAGTAATAAGAAATCAAAAGGCTGCGCTTCTTTTTTTGTCCATCTGACAAAAAAATATTTAGCTGCAAATTTGCCTGATCATAACCGCATGAAAAACTTTGCTAACGCCAACAGTTCATCTAAAACCGGATGTTCTGTGTGCTCAAGCTCCGGACGATCTTCAAAGCATTCATTCATCCAGTCCATTTATTTGAAGTGATCGTCTCATCACTTGCGTTCTAATCTATTAGGCGCAAAATGCACATTGATCCAAGATTTAAATATTTTAAAATTAAAAATTTTCGCAGTAAAAACACAGACTTTTGAACTGCACAAGACAGTATCCTTAAACCAAGCTCTTGTTAATGTTTCTAGCAAAAAGGAATATACTTAAGTAAATCAAGCAAAATAACAGTTGAGTACAAATCTTTTCACTACGAAACAACGCCATAAAGACGCCAACAGGTACAAAGTGGAGACACTAAAACTTATTCATATACTAAAAAAAAAAAACAAAAATAAACTTCTAAAAAGGATTTTCAAAAAACTAAAACCCCATGACATTGTTGAACGATGATGGAACAAACTCAGGAAGATTCAGAACACCAGTTCTACAGTACTGAACTACATACTACATAATCCAGTGAAAACGACATGCTAAAAGTGATAGAAAGCAAATGACCGTATAAAACTGTTTACTATTGCAGTGTTACAACTGTTATTCATGACCCAAAATAGACTAAGACCAAAACAGAGTACCAGAATAAAAGTTCCAATAACCGATGGTCTGAATACCTGAATATACGAAAAAAAAAAAAAAACAAAATCCTTTCAAAACAGATAGACTGTTTAAATAATAAAAATTTAATGAACAATGTAATTTTAAAATGGTCCAAGAAAAATAGAAGCCAGAAACTAAGCCATGATAAATAAACTGTAGACCAGAAAATCCAAAATCATTAATACAAAAACGACGCCGTTTTTTTTTTTTTTTTTTGTCTTCTGCAGCAAATAAATATCAGCCTTACAATATTAACCTTTATTTTTTCCCCAAAATAAGTATGCTTCACAAGTGCTCGTCAAAGAACTATAACATTCTATACCAGTAATCAAGGTAATTAAGATCATCTCACAACATTGTCAATTAAAAAAAAAAAAAAAAAAAATAACAGTGAAACACAGTCGAAAAATCGAAAAAAAATAGAACAATATCACACATTATAAACTACTCCTTTCACTCTGTTTGACGTTGACTGAAAAAGACAAAAATGTAAATGAAAATAAGCAATCAAAAAGTCCTGCAAAAAAATAGAAAAAAAATGCAAAAGTGCACAATGTTTAATAGTAATAATAATAACAATAGTAATAACAATAATAATAACAATAATAATAATAATGATAATAATAATA